GATTCTTCACATAAAATAAAAAAATTATATCTTTATGTTTGAAGCCTGAAATGTGGCAAAAGGTTGAAAAGTTCAAGGGGGCCGAATACTTTCGCAAGGCACTGTAGATACTGTAGTAAATTATGCTACATTACAGGGGTGGACTTATACCGTATGGGAATTTGACTGTTCTCAACAGTTCTTTGCATTGAGTCCTCACGAATGTTAAGACCCTACTGTATATGAAGAACTGTATGTACTTTATGTCAGTCTTTATATATAAATACATATTATATATATATTACACTACAGGAAAACCTAGAATTTATTGTGGAAGCACATGACAAAAGGTGGAAACACACCCTGAATGGGACAGTTAATCACAGAGCACAGATATGGATAATTTATGTGGAAAAAAATAACCAAAATCAGGGGTCAGAAACCAATGTCTCTGCAATCTCTTGAGATGTAATAATATATACATAAATTTAATATAAAACATAACATCAGAATTATGTTAAAATTAAAAATCAATTTTGAAAGCCATAGATTACAGCAACAACCATAACTCTCAAACACCAGGCTTCGTTGACACCCAATTGGAAATTTAAAGTACAATGGAAACTGAGGAGCTGAAGCAGAAAGTTCAACAGTGTCAGACAGTGAACAAACCCAGATAGCATGCAATGGGTTTCTGAATGCTGTTGCAGAACACATCAGATCAAAATGTGATATTTTACTGTACTGTTCCGTTCCATAAAGAAGCACTTGGTGAACACATTTCCACCCAAGATCTTGGAAACGATCTCTATGCTTGTGCAATGTATCAACAAAATAATGTTGGCGACTTCAGGCTAAAAGACCTGAACTATCAAAGGTTCTGTGAACTTCCTGAAGAAGCTTAATTGTCAATATTTTGCCCTGCTTTGACACAAATAGATACAGTGGTGATGTGCCACCTTATACTGCATAAACATACATTTACAAATTAATTGGATTCCTTCTTACATCATACCTTTCTATAGTGGGTTCCATCTCATAGTGCTTTACTGTACACAGTTACGTTTAGTCAGTACCTATAAATCCATGAAGCCTTACCTCTAGAGAAAGTCAAGTTGCTTTTGGAAGTGGTGTTAATGAACCAACAGGTGGCACTCGCTGCTCAGGACTAGAAATTTCAAAACTGTGCTGTAGGAGGTGCTGGCTTTCAGGATGAGTCTTTGAACAAAGTCCATTGGACTCTTCATAAATGAAGGATTGATAACTTTGATGTCATGACTGAATTACAGTTTTTCCTTGCTCAACCTTAGTTCAATTGGGAAGGCTGCTAGATCACACTGGCTGTTAGGGATCATATACTGTACAGTAGGTAAATTACAGACAGAAACGTGACAGTTGTAGCGATGCATGGTGAAGCACAATGGCATAACGGTATTTGTAGAGCCCTACAAATTGCTCATTAAACCAAAAGGAAATGCTAAGCAAAGGCAC